CTGTTTGTCATTTCCGTGCGCAAGCCACTTTTAGGAGAGCAAAAGTTGACCACCCCCCTGGATAGCAAAATTTACTATTTTCAAAATTTTTTATATTTTCCACAATTTAAGAACTCAAGCAATCCATATATAGCAAAAATTACATTTCATGAACAGAATTGTGGAATTGAGAGCAATTTCAAAATTGTCTTACTTTTTTTTGATACACCCTGTATATATATATATATATGTACATGTATATGTATATGTATATATGTATATAGACGGAGAGAGCTCCATGACTTTGTCACACAAGGGCCTAGACACCGATTGTAAAACTATAATTTTACTGTTTTTTAGTCGATACGCAGGCTACAGTCTTTATAACATTTTTTTGTTATTTTGAAAGGTTTCGATGCGTATATCTGTTATCTTCACGTGCAAACAGCTTATAGAAACCCAGTCCTTCGAGTTTTCTGTCAGATATTGAGTGACGAAACACGTAAGTTTTGACAATTTCTTTACAGTATAGGGTGCGAATAAACCTCATGAATTGTTCATAAATTTTACAAACATGTTTTACAACTATAAATTGGCCGACTTCAATCTTATTGTCGACTCTGCGCCTGGCATAAGAATTCTCCGTATATTATCTACAGTAAATCTTCAAATTAGCCGTCCGGCCCCCTCCAATAAGCCCGCTTTTGGCTCGCAACGTACCTAGGCGAACCAGTGAACTCTATTATAACTGGAACTATCAGTGCAGGTAAACTGCCCTATGGTTGGGTGAAGCCAAGATGGCACGCGTGTTTTTCGCGTGGGCTTCGTGGGAGCTGAAAATGACTAAAGTTTTCCGAGCGATGTTTTTCAATTTTTGCACGAAATGCTCATTTTTAGAACAAAATACCTTCCTAAATTAGCTAAAAACTACAAAAAGGTAAGATTGATGTAAATGTTATTGGATGAAGGATATTCATCAAGCGTTGGAGAGTCGAAACCAAGTCGACGCTGTGTATCTGGACTTTGCAAAAGCGTTTGACGAGGTTAGTCATAAGCTTTTGTTGACTAAACTTCACAAGTTTGGAATAAGAGGTGACCTACTAAGTTGGTTTGAAAATTATCTCTCCGGCCGCTACCAAAGAGTCACTGTTCTGGGTGAGACCTCGGGTACAATCCCTGTACTGTCTGGAGTTCCTCAGGGATCAATCTTGGGGCCCCTCCTTTTCCTAGTATATGTGAACGATCTTCCACATTCCATCTCGGGCGAATCAACTGTGGCAATGTTAGCCGATGATACCAAGTGCTACCGTCCGGTGAAAGATTTACCCGATTGCGAAAGTCTGCAGAATGATCTCAATAATCTCGTGAACTTGTGTACTATCTGGAAGATGGACTTAAATAAGTCTAAATGCGGAGTAATGAGCTTCACAAGAAGTCGCCAACCAGTCACAACAAATTATAAACTACTGGATAGTTCTCTGAAGCAACTATGTCATCAAAAAGACCTTGGAATTGTTGTCACAAAAGATATCAAGTGGACGAAACAGATTGAGGAAATAACATCAAAAGCGAGCTCAATGCTAGGCTTCATTCGTCGAACAGCCTCCGACACGCATAACATCCACGTGCGAAAGGTCTTGTACCTGTCATTAGTGCGCAGCAAGTTAGGATATATGTCAGCCAGGTGTGGGCACCTCAAACTGTCACCGACATACTGTCAATAGAACGGGTCCAACCTCGCGCGACCAAATTCATCCTTTCCCTTCCTTACAGAACAGCCACAACATACAGGGAATGACTACTGGTTATCGGTATTCTCCCAGTCTGCTATTGGCACGAATTTCTAGACTTAGTTTTTCTTTACAAGAGTATTCTAAGCAACGATGTCAATGTGTCAATACGAACAACCAGCCGGACGACTAGAAACGCTGACCCTGTCAATGGTATTCTTCTTAATGTATCTCGATGCAGGACAGTTAGCTACAAGAACAATTTCTATGTGAGAGCGCCTAGCGTATGGAACATTCTTCCTAGCAATATTCGTGACACTTCAAGATCATTAGCTTACTTTAAAATCTCTTTATTCAATTACTACTTAAACCTTTTAGAACAAATATACAACCCGGACAATCCTAGAACATTTACGTCCGTGTGCGTCAAATGCCACTCAACTCGGTCTCTTGATAGCTTATTAGTGAGGACATGTTGTTGACATTTTAGCATAATTTGTTTTAATGTTATATATTGTAACTTATTGTGAGGGGCCCCATAATTGGAGATTATCTCTGTGGCTAGTCCCTGCCCGAATTGTATGTAAATTTTGTAAAGTATTAGTCTTATTTATGTCTGTTATGTTTGGCGAATCTTGTAAAATAAAATAAAATAAAAATAAAATAAAATAAATGCAGTCCAGATTATTCTGTTTTCTTTTCAAATCCCACATCGATAGCCCAAAAAACAAAAATTTGCTGATGTTTTTCAGCGGGTTTTTTTCCGAACTTGTTTTTCACTCATGAGATAATTTTGCTATTTATGACGAAGTATTTCTAAAATTTTCTTATCCTGAAAGACCATAGGTCTAGAATTTACTTAATTCTGAAAGACCACATTTACTTATTCTGAAAGACAGTCCTAAAATTTACTTATTTTGAAAGACCATAGGAGGCATAGTAAAGCCCGACTTAACAAATTAACAATTTGCTCAAAAATATGAAACCTTTGCATGAAATAAGGTCGGTTTTTTCTTACCGAATTTAATGAATTTCCCCGTAGGGGTCTGGATCATACGAGCTTCAACAATCTCGAACCCTGAGCCTGCAATAGAGCTCCAATTTCCACCATCTTGGCTTCAAAAATCAAGCCCGAGTTATCGTTCCAGTATTTATAGAGTAATCACTGATGCAAACAGACTTTGTGATTGTTCGATTAAAGGCACAGTTCACTAGCCTTTTGAATGATGGCCTTTAAGGCTCATTACGACCTTTTTAATACACACTCTCGATAATTACGTCACAACTCTGTTTTCAACTTAGGACCACCTTAAATGGAAAGGATTTTAATTTTTTTCTCATGGGCTATGCACAGAGAAGCAGAACATCCTTCTTCAACACATGCATGAAAAATAATTATTCTGACTGATAAATGTGGAAATAGCTTTAACACGACAACGAGGCTCCAGGTCATGACCTGGAGCCTCGTTTTCGTCACATATATAACCATCGACACGGTAGTAATTTCCTCTGTCTTTTCCTCATGAATTCTTAATGAGTTTTTTAATGTATTAAAGGACAAAACCGGGAACGAAAATGGAAATTTTCAGCTCAAGCTCGTACCAGGTGGTTCCTCGCCCTTAC